GTGAAGGAGCCAGCTGGGCTGGTAGAGAAAAATGGGTTTTACGTACTGGGTTCCCACAGACGGCGCCAATCTGTTGATGCTCTTTTTCGGAGAGGGTCAACTTAGAGATAGGGGGTTGTCCTTAGCAAGAGAAGGGCCTGGGCCTTCGGTAGAGGGCTAGCCTGCAAAAAACAGAGGAAACAGTCGTCAAGCTTCGGACACCGGTGTGGTGCCGGCCGAAGGCTCTCCGATGCCTGAGTCAGCTAGGTGTAGTGACTTTTGCAAAGTAACAGTAGTAGTGAGAGAGAGAAGTTACCCCTTTTTCTTGGTTACTGTTCCCCATTTATAGGAGAGTAAAAGTAGGAGGTTTGCACAAAGTTCCGATGTGGGACTTTGTGCAAGTTGCTGTGATGATGACACGTGTCTCCTGTGTTTTAGGTTTGGCAGTTCGGAGCTTCGGCAGGTGGTTGTCCCCTCGGAAGAACATCTCCCTTTGGCAGGGAGGAAGACATGTCTCCCTTGGTGTTCAATCACGCTTGGTTAATTATGGTGTAAACACCTTCCATGATTCAATCTTGGTAATTGATTAATTTCTTGGGATGTCGATGCCAAGAATACGTATCTTCAAGGCAGACCGTGAGTGGGAACTCTTAATTATAGGTTAAATAAGTCTCGGTATTTTTGTTGGTGTTAGGTCAGGAATCCTTTCCTTGGTAAATTGGTAAACCTTATTATGTTAAAGTGAGTCTCCTAATTAATCAAGGAAAGTTATTTCCTTGATTAATTAAGGGATTTACTTTCCTATTTTATTTAGTAGACAAATCTTTGTATAATTAGGAGATAATATCCTAGTTGATTACTGTATCTATTTCCTTGTAAAGCCTCATATACATTCCTATATATACCTCCTTATGGATAAGAATAAAATTCAACCCAAAGTATTCAAACCTAATATCATATTTTAGCATGGTATCAGAGAAATGCATTAATTATCTGGATAGGAGTAAATAATCCATGTCAGTTGTTTTGTATCAACTTATATTATTTAATTAACTTACTAATACTATCCTTACCTGACTAACTAATACAACCCACACACTCCGTTTTAGATAATACATGCTTAATTATAAGGCTATGAAAAAAAGAACACACGCCGATTTGGGCTTTTTTATATATTAATTTTTTGGTCAAAATCCCATATTCCAAATTTAACTTGGGGGTTGCATAAATGATGGGTGGGCTGGTGAGGAAGACAATGAAGGAAGCAAATTGAAGGAAGAGAGAATTGGGAGAGAGGTTTCTTGTTTTAGTATTAGGCAGTTGTTGGATGTATCTAATGGCTAAAATGGTTTGGCAAAAACAAATGAAAAAATAATTGTCATATGAATATTACTAAAAGAATTTGTGTAATTTGAATTTGAATTTTCATTTAAATTATCAAAGATTTAAAAAAATATAGTATGATCCGATGTTATCATGAGCACCAAACACAATATAACTTAGTCATGCATTGCATAAAACAGACTACTCGGATGAGAAAATGAGTTAGAATTATCCTAGATTAAGGGTTTTATAACCAAAAAAAAAAAAGATAAGGAGAAGATTCAAATTGGAGCAAATGAAAAAGATAAGGAGAGGATTCAAATTGGAGCAAATGAATATCTCAATCCGAGTAAAATACTACATGCGTCAAAACAAATTCCAAAAGTAATCCCTATTAACATGGCACATCTTGTCCACCCTAAAACTTCATTTAATTTCCCGTATTATCCTTTTGTGCAATCCAAACACCTGCATCAACCTGTAGCGTTGCAGCAAGATCTTCTCATGAATAAAGGCTTATTTGTGACAGCTTGGACAATGTCTGGTATGAGAAGTTAAGGAAGCTCGAACTCCACAATTGTAACAGAAAGCATATCCACACCTGCAACATTTGCAATCAAATTTCATTACGAAAGCAAAGGAACCACCACTGTAGTGGTTTGGAGCAATTGCTCCTCCAGGCAAGATCTTGGGTTCAAGTCCTAGCATCCATGTAGTTTTGTGAGTTTAGTATATTATCGTCCTTCTCAATAAGAAAGGTCCTCAAAAAAAAAAAAAAATTTGATTATGGAAAATAATACAACAAACCAAAAAAAGAAGAAAAAAATATACACCAAAAGATCAAGTGTTTATGTAAGTTGAAGGAGGCATCGAACAGCTGAAACCAATATCAGATTAAGTAACATTTAACTCAAATTAGCCCTTTTTAATTCCTAAGCTATTTGAGAATCAAAGAAAATAAACCAATCTGCAGAGAACCTAGAAGTAGCATAGCAGAGAAGTTCAACTGACCTGCATTTTATGTAGCTGCACCCATCGCGTCTTTCAACATAGTACTTGCAACTTGGACACCTCCTCCAGTTCTTATTCTTGGCAAGCTCTTCCAGCTGCTGATCTTCACCCATATCTCTCAGTTTCTGGAACAGGTCACAATCGAATTCGGTATGCCAAGGAACCTTACACTTGACACAAAAAACTCCCTTGCAATGAGGACACTGAGCTTGTTTGGTATCATCTGGTTCCTCATTAATAGCGTGGAGCATGCGTTGAAGGGAATAAGTACTTCTTCTGAGGCTCCATAACCACAGATTCACACAAGGCCTTGCCCCAGCGGTGAAAGACGTCGTATGGGAGAATTGGACGGCAGTACTCAAGGTCTAACACCCCGGGGCATCCTTGATCCGGGCACGTAACAGATGTGACATTGTCTTGGAGCTTGGACACTATGAATCTAACAATGCACTCTTGACAGTAAAAATGGGCGCAACCCTTGATGTTGAATGAGCGTTCTAGATGAACTTGCTCATGGCAGAAGTGACATGCAAAATTTGGATCAATATCACCAACTTGCTTCTTTTCTTTATATGTTTACTATGTTTGGTCATGAGGGTACCGATTTTGTTGCCCAATTGTTTTCCTCCCAGAACTTGCTTGCCCAGGTTTTTTCCCCTGCAAATTATGTTCCCCATCTTCTTCTTATTCTTTTTCTTCTTCTTCCTCTGCCTCTCTCTCTCTCTCTCTCTCTCTCTCTCTCTCTTCAGTGGTTCTAAACTTTTCACACTCTCATGAAACAACAGAACACGAAAGACTGATCTATGTGGGAAAGCTTTCACCAATAATCAAAGAGGATGCAAAAATAGTCACACTGGGAAAAGAAAAAAAAAAAACAAGAATAAAAAGAGGCGTTTGAGAAGTGGAGACCTTAGAGTTATAGTGAGGTTTTAAGACTGATTATATCTATAGGAAGATGAACTTCATCTTATCTTAATAGACATGAAGTTGAGAGTTCTTTCTCGGTAAGAAATAACACTTCCTTTTTTTTCAATAAACAGAAATAGGACTTCCTTTTTCTTTTTTTTTCTTTTTTTTATAAACAGAAATAGGACTGACTTCGTCAGTACCCATAGTAAGCAAAGTTAACCTTTTTGGAGAAACTCCAAATCAAAATATATATTTCCCATTAAGTTTCTTTTGGGCAACCAATTATGCCTCTGATAAACATCGGACTTGTATAATATTGTGAAATATTGAAAAGGACTCTTGTGGGCCCATGACACGCTAAGTAATGGTGACGTTATTAAATTCATTGGCACATGCTCACGCCTGTGTCAATTGAGAATTAAGAAAAGATAAAATAGGTAGTTATGTTCCGTAAAAGTATGACATATTATCTGATTTTGTTATTATTTTTATTTTTATTTAATATAAAAATGTGAATTTATTATATTATCCTCATTTAATTAATAATTTCAATTCTGTTTGAATTAACCAATGACATTTTCAGGTATTTTGAATGTTTTATCATTCTCTGTCTTTTGCTTTATATATATATAGATAACACATGGGAAGTCTAATGGTGATTTTGATAAATGGGAATACATGCACGAGACTGAGCCTACTACCAACAACGTAATATTTTGATCACCAGGCCAGAACTGGAATTTTGATCACCAGTCCAGAACTGAAAATTCCGTAAACATAATTTCACATGGCAGGGTGGGGAGGGGAGGTGGGGGAAGGGGCTGTTGGGTCTACCTTTTAATTTTGTAAGTTTTTTCACTTCTTATTTTTATATTTATATAATATTTAAACTTTCTAATGTGTGTTGTATTTAATTTAGATTATAAATTTTTATTAGCTAAATTACTAAAATGCCCGTACCACATCAGCAACTTAAAAGTATTACAAAAGAAATTGACAAATTTGATAAGGTGAGACACGAAATGCAAGTATAAGGGGGGGAATTGAGTCAGTGCACAGGGGTCATATCAATAAATAAGTCTTAAAATTATATTGGTTTCTTATATACAAGTGCAGTTCCAAGTGTGGCCATCTTCGTTCTCCTTTATGCAGATAAAAATATAAGCCAACACCTATTAACCTTTTAATGTACAATTACAAACCAAAGGTGAGGAATTAAGAAAATAATTCTGAACAGAAAGCTTCAGCAAGTTGTCATAAGAGATCCAACAAGATCTAGCACTGTAGACTGGAGTAGAGGTTTTCAAGTGCGGTATACAGGGGCTCAGCAGCCTTTGGTCTGTCCACTGTTCCGAGTAGTATATCCGAAGTCGTCAGGTAAGGGTCACCATAAAATTGTAGATTGGTATCCATCCTTGTGGCCACGATGTTCCCTTCCAGTGATACTCCTACAAATGCACCTGTCAAACATTGGAACATCGCTAAATCAGGAGTCAGCTCTTTTCCCATGCTTTCCGCACACCGCAATTAACAGAACCTCAAAATGCATTAAACAGTTCTACCATGGATTCAAAAAGAGTAAAGGGCGGAGTCATGGAAGAATAATGGCCGACAAACTCGGGAATTTGACAAAAAAAATAGAGCATGGGGACAGACTGCGTTGTGACAAAATTGGATGCTCTATTGCAAAGTGTGGCAAGTTTATATTCATGCCCCAGCATGCCCCACATGCCGAGTTCCGATATGTACAAAATGCTGATACACTAATACAAGCATTTTGAGTCTAAATGTTATCGCACCTTTACTACAACTGTAGGTATAGCACATTCCAGAACCTCTGTCTCCAGCACGCATATCTGCTTCCAGCACTCTACCAATAGGTCCTGCAGCAACGCTACAGCCAGCACCAAGAGAAAAATGCATGCGACTACAAAACGTTTTCACAGCTTTTAAGTCATGAAGTACAATTATGAAGTCCATGAGCTCACCCCCAACCTGGGAATAAAAAAAACAATGGCAATAAAAAGATTACCACCTTGGATAGAACTAAGTACAAAATTCTGGCCAATATTAAGAAATTCCCAACTTAATGAATAGGGAGAGACTAAATGAACCAATTTTATGACTTCAGTTAAAAAGAAATTGATACAGGCAGATGCATGTGAATTGTTTTTTTACTTTTAAATCTACAATTAATGCATATGGGTTCTTATCTTACTACTCTGTCCTTTCTTCAAACTGAAGCATATTCAAATAATTAATAGCAAGGCAATAAAAGAAAAATATATATAACATTTTAACAATGAAAAGATTGCATACCTGTGCACCCCATCCTAAGCCAACAGAAAATATGGATGATGGAGCAGACCATGATCCATCTGACCTTCGAGCAATTACCAAACCAGTACCAAGTTTGTATGAAAGAAGCACACCAGCTTTAGCAACTGTTAAGATTGCCAGGCCTTTGGCTCCTCTGAGAACAGCTAAGGGTATGGACCTCTCAGGATTCAACCTAGCAACCTGTCCAATCCCAAGAAACATTCATTACACAAGATGTCATAAAACAGCTTAATAAATGGGCTGATTTAACCAGTTATATATTGATTTTACAACTCTTTAAAAGCCATTTTAAGCTAGTTTCCGAGTACATGAAATGAAAGAAGTATTCAATCAGTATTTGCAATGCACTCTATGAAACGATAAAGCAGGAAACTATTAATCCAGAATGGTGGGAAGACAAGTAACTTAAGGAAACTTCAATGAAATTCAAAATTGCACCTGGGAATAACTTCTCAATGTGTTGGATGCTTTGTATATTTCATGTTCCATGGAAAAACCAACAGGTAGATTTAACCATCCTCTTGTACATGTCCAATCCATGACATCATGCTTTGCTGCTTGTGAAGCATTGCTAATGTTGTTGATAAGAATACCCTGCAAAGGGTCTAGCCTATCATAGCAGGCATCACAGACTCTTTGTGGATTCCTCTCCCTAAACTTGACAGGCAACAAGCACCTTCCTTTACTACATGTTCGGCAGAAAACACCACCACAGAAGCGACAATGATGTCTCCCACGAGTAAGAGCAGTGAAAGGAAAAGTGCACTGCATGCAAACTGTAGTCGAACTATCAGGAAGCCACTCAGGGGGCTCAGCCTCCAAAACATCTTTGTAAGCATTATAATCAAACGCAGTTGTTTCAAGAAGGGGTGGAGCACTGGGTGTGTAGACCGAGGAGTGCAAGTAGGTTTCACCATTCTTTTCTGAGCCCAGAAATGAAACATTCGAATTGGGTAGCTGCTTGTCTGATGGAGGACCCGGAGCTTTGTTCCGACCAGTCAGAATGGCAACCATCCCACTCAGCACATTCTTCAAGTTGACCTCGGGATTCATATTAGTCTGAGCTGAATCACAAGGCTCCTCGCTAGAATCATATCCGCTGCCATCAATAAAATCTTCGGATTCAAGGGGAAACTGGAATGCATAATCTTGTTTCAAGGGCTTGGAGGCTACTGGGGGGTAACTAACTTTAGCACCGTCTTCTGGCTCGGTCCATTCGGAGCCGATGAATTCATCATCATAGTGGAATTGGGTTTGGCGTTTGTCTATCTTAGGAAGGGACGAATACGAAACTCTCCCCTCAAAGCTCGCCATGCGATTTTTCCAAGCACTACACAAGTTTCCAGATTTGGCTGGTATTCGAAATCAGCATATGTTACAAAACTCAAACCCAAAGAAAGCGCAGGAAAGAATCAACTGTGCAATTTACAAAGCAAAAGCAAGGTGAATATTCAGAAACGAATTAAAGGAAACTAACAAGAACCTTATATGCAGCTGAACAATGAAAATAATTCGTAAAGTAATTATCTTTTCTCGAAAACATATATGAGGAATTGGAATTTGCTTCTTGTTTGTTCTAGGGTTATTTAATTCAGAATGAAAGAAATAACAGATAAATAAGAGAACAGAGCAATGGAAAACATACCTGTTTATCGAATCGAGCTGTTAATTGAATAAAATTGAGAAAAGAATTGGTTCGCCTTGAGATTTTCTCTCACTGTATTTTAGGGTTTTACGATAGCCAAAAAACATTCAATTGTGCACGAAGAGCAAGAAGAAGAAGACGAAGATACACGACAGCCGGGTTCTTGAGATATACGAAAAGACTTTCGGTGTGGATCATATACCAACACTACGTCCCTCCTCCTCACACGTTAAAAATTATAAAAAATAAAAAATAAAAAAGCATAAAAAACGACATGTCGTTTTACCACAATACATCACGTGTGAAAGTGTCGTTTTAGTTAGCTTGCTTCTTGCTACTTGTGGAGGTTTATTATTATTAATTAAAAAATTAAGAGATTTTCTATTTAAACCCCACAGTTCTCTTAGTTCACCCCATATTCTAAGTTCACCCCAATTTATAGTTTAAATTTTCACAATTTCTAAGAAAACCCCACTATCTTCCTAAACTACCCTTAAATACACCCCAAACTGAAAAAATAAGAACTAAAAGATATTTTCTATTCAAACCCTACAATTTTCTTTGTTCCCAACAAAAAAAAACACAAACAAATGAAACCCAAAATCTGAAATTTAATACTTTCTAGAGAAAGAGAACAGTTTTACCTCTCTCCAAGAATTGTAACTGAAATTCTAACACTTGGGTATTGTTGAGTTGAGAACTTGAGAGAGAGAGAGAGAGAGAGAGAGAGAGAGTTTGTAAACAAGAAGTTGGAAGGAGGTTTCTAAAACTTAATATGAATAGTGGTGGGGTCTGTGGGGTGTGTGTATAGATATACTAGGGTTAATTATTAAGTTGGATGACCTTTTCTGTCTTTTTACATAATAATAAAACTTACAGCTTAATGATTTAAGTATTGGGGTGAACAAAGAGAAGTGCGGGGTTTAAATAGAAAACCTCAAAATTAATTCAGGACCATAAATGTACTTCTGTTGTAATGCAACTGCTAAATTTTCGATGTTATTTATAATTTTTACATTAGTTTTTATCAAACATCCAAACAAGGAAAAGGAAATGGTTTCTCATATTTCCCATTCACTTCAAAGCAGTTAAGGTACATCAAAATTTTCCCAATAAATATTACAATTTGTTAACCTAACTAACTAGCTTCAATTCAAACACGAAGCTTCTTGCCAGGCTGTACATCATCGTCGTAATGGCCGCCACCACCGCCGCCACCCCCCTCTCCATCGATGTCCTTATCCATCTTCTTTCTGGCAAGTATCTTGTTGATCTTGTGCAGATCATTAGTGATCTTCTGGTCCTTGTTTTGCTTTCGTGTCTTTCGACCATCTTGCATCTTCACGCCAAACTGGAATGCTGCCTTTGGCATAGCTTCCTTCTGCTCATTGTATGTTGCCCATTCTTCTTCCGTCTCAAAGTCCCATCGGTGAAGACGACCCTTAGCCTGTTCAGAAATATTTTAACAAATACATAAGCACCGATTGTAATTTGTAACAATAACTATAATGTTGCGCCTATAACTGTTAGATGATCATTCATAGAAGCAAACAAAGAATTGCCACTAAAGTATTTTCTCCAATATGTTGAATGTCATACAAAACTAAGCTACAGAATGATGCACACTTCCTAGGCAGTATGAACAAGATTATTGGTTTAATCAGAAACTTACTCGTCCACCCATATCCATTTTTGACAAGTCATCTTCATCGTCGCTGTCAACGATCTCCCGATTATACTCTTGATAGCCAGGGTAACATTCAGAATAACTCTCTGAGATGAAGTTGGGATCCTTTTCTCGGGCATCTTTCTCCCTCAATTGTTGAAGTCTTTGGTCATCACGCTTGAACACAGATCCTAAACCCCGATCCTTCTCTTCTTGAGTCATAAAGCGTGGATCCTGTATGTTTAGGCCTGCTTCCACATCATAACCCTCCATATTTGGCTGGAGGTACTGTTCAGGATAAGCCATTTGCTCAGCATATTGGTACTCCGCCGGCCACTCACCCTGGTAGGCCCCAGCCATTTGTGTTTGTGTTGCATCGTATCCATTCTAAATCCAAACAATGAACAGAGAATTACTCATCTATTAAAAAATGCAAGTCAAGTTTCTGTTTAGAAACACAGTTTGTACAACAATCTTCAAAATGAAGAAAGAAGAGGATCAACATACTGTTTCTTGCCATTCCTGAGGCGCCCCATAGGGTTGGACGGGACCATAAACAGGTTCATCAAAATAAGAAACTTTTTCCTTGTTCCGGGGAGACTCTTCCATGTCCTCAGAGAGAGGGCTTTGACTCAAATCCTTACCAGGAATAGCATAGTCAACACCATCCCCAACAAAAATGTCATCCTCATCTGCTCTAGCCATAGTTGGGCCTTGTTGTGCTTTTGAATCTATATGATTTTTCCTAGGGGGAGGACCAGGAGGTGGAGGTGGAGGTGGAGGCAAAATCTCTCTTTTAGTTTCATTCTTCGAAGTCCCAGCATCAGGCTTCGAGGGCTTATCCTCTTCAACATATTCATTACCAATAATTGAAATCTTTCCCATAACTAAAACAAGGACCAAGAAAAGAACTTGATTAAATAATCAACAAATAAACAACGATAAAAGGTAGATAGGATGAAGGATGAAAACAATTGATGAGAAATCTCAAAATGGGTTATGAAATATTATCTCTTCAACCCTCACAGTATACACCAAAATGCCAGCATCCCAGACAATATTAGGCAAGTTATACCAAACACACAAGAAGGAATTCTGATACAAATTAGTTTAGTTTGGTTTAGTTTATCTCTAAAAAAATTCAGTTGACCACATTTAGGCATAACATCTGTACAATTTTTATCGTAAACAATGTTTTCAAATACATGCTTTATATATCGCTTTGGTTTGACTTAAAAAGAGAACTACTCACAGTATATTACAGACAATTGTATCAAGAACCTAATGTTGCATATAGAACTGATGATTTCCAGTTACTTTTGACCAAAAGCAGGATAGGGAAATTACCTTTTGCATCTTTCTCCTTCTTTTTCTTCTTGAGAACCTTTCCAGAAGATCCAAGACGAAGATATGACATAATTTTAGCAATTCGATCAAGCACAGAACCATCAACACTGACAGTTACCATTTCCTGAACAATAAGTAGAAGCCAAAATCAGCATAACAGTCCAACACTAAAAGGACAAGCGCACCAAGGATCAAAAGAATTTTAACCTCTGGTTGCGGACAGTCGGCTTTGCTCCTATGCAAGGTGGTTGGGATATCATGAGTGTATCCACCCTCCTGATATGCGGAATAAGAGAAAATGATACAGAAGTTAGGAAAATGAGAGATCAAATTCATTGATTATCCAAAAGTAAGCTCAGTACTCTTTAAGAAGTGTGTACAGAGCACTTCTACTCATAGTTGAACTACCATGCATGCTTCAGGTGGCAACCAAACACAAAGTGATCCCGAACAAGCCACCCAAGGTTTATCAGGGTTCACGCAAGCTTAAAACATGAGCCCAAAATTATCCCAAAAAGACTACTCTGCTCTAAAATACGCAGGCTTAAAATAAAAAGAGCAACCAAGACTCTTACCATGTTGAAAATAAATGACATCCTACCAGGAAGGAACATCTCATTGGTTTTTATAACAGCTTGTGGCTTGACTATGCATTGATACACCGACTGAAACACAGAAATTAGACATCAATGCAAACAATTCAAGATTTAAGAACAAAACTACCTCATCATATCACCAAAAGTAACACACCTTTGCAGTTGCAGTTCGAAATGACAATTTTTGGTCTTCCTTAGATGCCCTGTCAGAGAACAGAAAACACATGTTAGCACACACACTATGACAAAGCTAAAGAAGTTTATTGACATTTGCCATACATCTCTAGAATAATAACTCATATTAACACTTGAAATGGCCAGTATCAACACAGACTCTAATCCTTCTACATCATGTTTGCCAAATTTAATTACTGAAATCGTAAATATAAATGGGAATATATGGCATAGCCTGACAATTAGGACAAGTAACCATATACAATTACCTAGATTTTGCATCAGCCTCATCTTCAGCATCTGGCTTTTTGTCAATCTCGCTTCTTATTTTGTTAAGTAAAGCGTAATCCAATCCTTTGACCAAATGCGTGTGTTCCACATCACCTGAACAGAATTAATCCCGTTCAGCATAAAGATAAGAATAATGCCTTTCCGCATTTACACAAAATGGCTAGCCAATAAAACTATTGACTATCTGTTTTCATGAATTCTTACACATAGCAACAAATGCAAGGTTACTTCTATCGCAATTTGTTTGAATAACACATTGGGATTTTTTTTTTCTATTTTAATTAGTAACACGTACCTCCAAGATACTTGCTCTTCTCGATGGATAACTTCTGTGCTTCAGCTGCCCTGCAAATACCATTGCAAATATGATTATGCTAATAAACAGCAGAGCCATTGTCAAGTTGAACATGAAAGTTTAGATAATAACCGGAGATCAACATTTCCAGGAGGCGCAACGGCATGAAAAGAACCCAATTCAGTCTGCTCATAATCAGGATTTTGATCTTCTCTTCGCTCCTTTGCTCTGTCTCTGTATTTTGGCAACTCCGGCTGTTCTGCTTTCTCCTCTCTGCATGCAGCACCACATAAACATAACATCAAACACATAATCTACATTCAAAAATTCGTTTTTCAATGTCTGTAAAGCTAACTTAATCCCAGATTTTAGCAAAACAGGTTCATTACCCACACAGAAAAGGGTACAAAATTAATAAAATAATAATAAAAATTTAAGCTTTAGAAAAAATTAACATGGTGCTGATGCCCATATCGACTACGCTGCATGTTAAACGTTGAATTAGAAGCTGTGTGTTGTACAGAGAACGAAACAAATTGAACTTTAACTCACTTGCGGCGAATAACTTTCTCCTTGTGATGTTTCTTTGACGACGTCATTGATACAACTGAATTAAAATCAGGGTTGAGGGCTTCTTCAAATGGCAACAGTTAGGGTTTGCAGCAGTGGCGAATTGGCGAAACGAGGTCGCTGGAACAAGATGCAGGCAGGAGGATTTCGTTGCGCGCTAAATTACGGATATAGCCTTCTGTATATACGCATGCTTGAAAGTTGAAACGCACCGTTCTTCAATTTTGGCTTCTTTCTCTCTCTTTTTTC